ATGCAAGGCAAGGTAATCCTGTAAGTTTCAGCTTTTCAAGAGTGTATATTTAAGAAAGCATATTTAGCAGTTTTAGAAAGCACATCCATGGCCATTGCTATTCAGTGTAAAAGCTATGCATGAATTGTAAATTTATAGGTGCATGAGATGCTGTTCACATCTTCAGTCCTTGTGATTGTAGGTTTTGTATAAATAGCTTGTGAAGTTACATTCTTCCCTGTTGCCTTTCTTGAGCTGTTTGCAAGGCCTCTATTTTGTTCATATTTTTAGTTTTTAGCAGAGCAAGACTAATGCAGTCTTGTGTTTGGAATATTGTTTTCTCAATACTACATATTTGCATAGGACTTTATTAACTTTTTACATATTAGACTGGACTGTGAGCCCTTTATAAGACAAAGTCAGTTCTGTCCTGCTTGTTAAAAAAACACCTTGTTCATCTGATTCTAAATAAATGATGTCAGTGGCATCATTAGCAATCACTCAAGAATGTTTTCCCAAAAATATTTTTGTGACCTCAGGAACATGTTTATATTTTGAAACTTCTTAGCCATGTCTTTTGCAACAAAATATTTTGACTTTGCATTATTCACTGTTTCAAGGTGATTTGTTCATCTTTAAGACTAGTAGTGGATTTTTCTGTCCTTTTAAAATATTTGGGGGCATTTTGGAGCTGCCACTAGAGCATGAGTTAAAAATATGTGGATACTGAAGCTGTCTTAGGCTAATAATTATCAAGTGCTGAAAGACTGCTTGTTTGAATGTAAGTCTTTAAAACTTAATTTGAAGAGAGAAATGTCTCTGTGAAGGTTTACTGTGGATAGAATTTCCTGAATTCTCAAATATGAAATGCCCCTTGACTTTTAGATCAGATCATTAGTCAGCTTTTCTTTTTAGGAATATGATCTGTTCCTTGAGCAAAGAGTACTGTTGGATACCTCTCCCTCCAGCCTGGATTGATCTGTGAACACACATCACTTTAGCATTTCTTTTCTTCTTATTCTCTGAAAATGCTTCTCTTCCACTTCCTCCTAGAATTGAGGTCTTTTTGGAGGCTGGGTTTTGGCAGCCATCCTCTGAATATTTTTTAACTGACACTTTCTTGCAAGAATTTCATGGGCAGTTTATTGGTGCTTTTCATTAGATCTTTTATCAACTGTTGCCTGAAACTCCTTCTCTTCCTGGCAGAAGCTTTTCAAATTCTTAACTCATGATAAAAAACCCCAGGAAGGTCTAATAAATTAGTCACACAGTGGCTAGCACTGATTTCAGCTGGTCTGTCCAGCTGTGGAGATACCTTATCTCCTGGAATGCCAAGCCCTGGGGACATCATGAGTAAAGCAATTGATTCTTCAGTACCTATGAGAGCTGTTTTTTATCAGGGGAGGAAGTGACCTAGCTTCTCCCTATGCATGGGACTAGAGCAGTTTTCCACTTCCATCATGCCCTGTTGTTTCCATAAGGTAAGACAGGTCTAAGGTTTTAGCTTCTATGCAGTGTCTTACTGTGCTTCATTTAACAGGTAGCTACTGGAGAGTCCAAGCCAACACCTGGCACAGGGGGAAGGGAGGATGAGTGTCCGGTTTCTCCAGGGGAGATTAGATTGGATATTAGAAAAAAATTTGTCATCGAAAAGGTTGTAAGGCACTGTAACAGGCTGCCCAGGAAGTGATCGAGTTACCATCCCCAGCAGTGCTGGCTTAACAGTTGGACTGGGTGATCTTTGAGGTCTTTTCCAACCTTGATTACTCTATGTTGGACTGAAAATTACAAGACAACTTTGAGAAAAATAGAGGATTGTTCTGACTCAGGACAGGTGCATAAATGCTGGGGGTGGTGGGCAGAAATACCGACAGAGAGCTTGAAGGGTCTGAGAGTAGGTTGTGTGTATGTAGAGACTTGAGTTTTGTGGATGGAGCCTGAAGATTCTTAGTTGTATCCTGGTTCGGGTTAATGTCTTTTGGGTGTTTGGTGGGATTGTTGGGGTCACTCAAAATGAGCCAAAGATTAGGATTCGGACTGGGGTAGAGGGCACAGGCTGGAGCTGCAGATGCAGTTGGGGCTGCCAGAGGAAGATATGTGGTGCAGATTTTCTCTCCTGAAAACTCTTTAGACTAGGACATGGCTGGGGACAGGAAATCCAGGGCAGCCAAGTCCTTTGGTTAGGATTGGTGGGGAAAAAAGCATGGGACTGCAGCTGTCAGGGGCTTCTAGGAGAAGGTGTGAGTTAGTGGGTTTCATTCACCTGCAGAGTCTGTCCCTTGGGCCACGGCTGAGGATCTCGTGCCAGGTCCCCAATGCAAAATGGTGATTGGTCTTGTTTGCCCAGTATTTCAACAGAAACCCACCAGAGCTGATAAAACTTTACATACCAAGACACATGCTTTATGAAAGTCTAGATTGGCACGGAAAATTTAGTTTGTTTATACAGCCTATGTCACAAGAGGTGTAGTTAGTGGATTTTTGAGACGCAGGGATGGAGAGTAACTGTGACAGTGAAGAAGACCATTGAGATCCTGCACAAACAGCACAACTTTTCAGCTGGCTTGGTAGCAGAGCAAGCTTAAACCACTCAATGTTTTGGCATCTGGATTGTTGCTCTAGATGAGGCAATAATTCAGAAGCAGTCAGTCTGCTCTGGAAGAAACTTCCCTTTGACATATTCTGCAGCAAGCAAGTCCTGAGGGGTTTGGTGCCAGACTGCTTAGAAATGTTTCCAATAGGAGACAAACTTTTTAATAATAATTTTAATTTCTTCCTCAGGGTTTTCCATCTTGCCCCATCCTATTTCCTCTCTCTTCAGCCTCCAAGTGGTGACCTAAAATGTTTGTTACTTACTCCTTTCCTTTCTCTCAATTTATCCTTCTCCTGTATTTCACAGGGAAGTCTGAACAAGCCATTTTGAAGATTTATTTAGAATGGGTTTTGGCATTTGAGGTTTCCAATAAGAACTCTTTATTTTGCCTTCTATTATTGCCTGTGACTTTTAATCTGCATCTGCAATATTGGTTGTGGTGCTGATACATTCACATTTGAGTAATAAAGAAAATGGGATGCTTCAGCTAATATATTCTTTTCTTCCTGAAACAGCACAGGCTGACTGAGGACTGAAATCACAAAAGGGCTACAGTATTTGGAAAGAAGTCCTCTGGCAAAAAACAAACAAACAAAACAAAAAATAAACAACAAAACAAACAAACAAACAAACAAACAACAACAACAACAAAAAACTTAAATTGCCTGGTGGAGCAACTAAATGGAAAATAGTAGTTTTATAAAGTTGCTGCTCTGTGAGGTTGAAAAGTACCATAGTATCTTCTGGGGGAAGATAAAGTAAATTTTTTTCCATCTGTGAAATAAAATAATGGTTCTAGAAGATAGGCAATTCTTTTATTGGCGTTCTCTTCATGTAATGGGGAAAAGTGATTTTTTTGTAAATAAAAGTATATTAATTAATTTGTTTTTAGGACATTACTGTTAGATTCTAACTTAAGCAGAAGACGAATAGTACAGCCATCTGTATGAGCTTGGGTTATGGAGTTTTTAACTTCAAGAATACTAAAAAAATACCCACAACTCCCAAAAGTATCATTCATATTTGTTTTGATGCTACTCCCAATACATAATGGTGTTGGAGATGTGGTAACTTCAAGAACCAAGTGATTGCAGAAAGCCAACCTATATACTGTTTCAGGGAGACACAAAGGAAAAGAGGTGAGGAAAAGTGATCACTTCAATGTTCATAAAATCAGATGTTCACTCCAGGAGGGATGAACACCTTCATGGACTTGCAAACTGCCACAGTCCTAAGGAATTAAGCAACAAATAATGTGCTACAATGGAGAGATGGCTCTTGGTAGAGCTCTGAGCAGTGGCACACTTCCTGTTATCCTAACTCAGAAGCAGGGAGCAGGAAACCATCACAGACTGTTAGCTATAGTGGAAAGGAATATTCTTTTCATTTGGATAAACTTCTCAGCCAGACCTCTTAAATATTAAGTATGAATAATTTTACTACCACAGGAGTCTGCTCTTGAATGGAGACTGTGTCAGCCCAAAATTAGGTTCCTCTATTCCATAGAGCTATTCTAATTTTCAGAAAGTTTTAAATTTAAGCAGACATCATTTTTTCTCTTCAAAGATCTTGAATTTTAAGTCCATGTCTTGAATTGATGATTTTCTTCTTAGTGGATGGAACTGGTTGAATTTTTCTTTGGATAAAAGGCATTATGGTTTTCTCTTGGGGAAAGGGTGGTGAAGACACAGTGTTTGTTGCAACAGGATTTTACAATTAAAATTCCCAACTTTTAGAGGCTTGGTCATTTTTTTGAGTATTGTAACAATGAGCCATGTCAGCACATCTCATAGCATGATCATGGGTGGTGAGGAACTTGAATTTGGGGGGTTGCTAATCTTTGGACACTGAACAATGTTCAGCTGTGGTATCACTGGCCTAATGGTGTTTTCATGATGAGATGGGGGGGGGGGGTTATGAATTCCCTTTTTATTTGTCTTCTCTCATTTATGATTTATGGGGCCCTCCATTCAACACAATATATGGAAGGATGACATTTAATTTCATCTTAAGATGAAAAAAAAAAAAAATAGGCCACCCATAAAGTGTACATACTTTCTCACTTTCCTGCAGTATAGAAACTGGCAGACCTGGATGCCTTCTAGGTTTCTGCTCTCAGGCCCTTACCTGTACACAGGTAAGGCAGGCTGATGTGTCAAAATTCACCCAGAATCTGCCTGGGTCACTGATGTGGTCTAGATCAATTTAGAATTTAAAATAAATACTAATGAGTTACTGTGCTTGGATATTCATCCTAGTCTTTCTTCATTTCAGTGATCAAATTTGGGTGTCCATGTATGTTTTCAGAAGGGAGCAAGGGGAAATCTTTTTTTCCAGTCATACTGAAATCCTTATGTGCTGGGGGAAAATGTTTGATAATTTGGATTTTGTGACTCACCACTCATAAAATACTCCTTTCTCATAACAGGTTGCTGAATGCGATAAAGCCAGGATTGGTAAAAAAGATCAATAGACTACCAACCCCCATTGCAGGTTTGGTGAGTATATCAAATGGAGGAAAATATTTCAGTGCTGCTTTTTACACCTTGACATTGACTATGGGATTCAGATAGCAGTTATTTTTGTAATTTGAACTCTTCTAGCCTAATAAACTCAGACAGTCCCTCTGAAATTGGAATGCGTTGTGTAGTGACCTTAAGACCTTTCAGTCTTTTCTTTTTCCAGAAGTAGGCAGTATTCAAGTGTCAGGGTATATTTTTAGAGGAAGATGATCTTCTTGGTTATATATCACCTCTCAGTTGTGGCACCAGCTGTAGAAAACCTGGAATGCATGCATTAGAAGCCACCACCACAAAAAGAGTTTTTGGAAAGGAAGAAAACTGTACTTGTATATTTTGTCTCATTTACCCTTTCCCCAAAATACCACAGTCTGCAGATAACATTCATTCTGGGGCTATCTGGGGAACTGTTTCATGTTGACTTTAAGGGCAGAGCAAAATTTGGCCATACTCTGTTGTAAGCAAGGATGACCACAGAGGATGTGCTGACAGCTCCTGGGCTGTCAGGAGCACTGGGTACTCTGGGGGTCACCTCAAGTGGTGGCACAGTCCCGTGCTTGCTGTTGGGGCAGAAGGTGGGTGCTTGTTGGGTCTAACAGGATTAGATACATAGAAATATGGCTATATTGAGTTTACCTTCAGCTGTAATTGGGAACAAAAGGGTCCTTGAGCGTGTGGAAAGTGGCCATCCTCTATTTAGACTCATCATGTAGATATGTGGTTCATTTGTGTTCTGGCACTGTCCACATTGTGGCCTATACAAGATTCAGAATACATTACTTGTTAATAGCTGAAGTTAACATTCCTTTGTATAAACAGCATTAAAATGTTTTAGTGTATCAGAAAACATGTTACATTTGCTGTTAAAGTAGCTCTACAGTGTTGTTGCATAGCCTTTGAGGCTGGGTCTTTCAGCATGTAGATTGACAAGGATATTTCTGCATGAATACCATTTGGTTTTAGAATCTCGTTTTTGATCCCCACCACCCTTTCTCTAAAGTTTCCCTGAGTGCCTATCTTTTGCCCTAAAACTCATCTAGTTTTATTCCTTTGCTGTCCTATTTGAAAGGAATGTTTGATATAAACAGCTGAAAAAAGTACCAGTAATGCAGTTTTCTTTTCCTTGGCTTGCTTTCAGGAAAGACTCAATTTTTGTTATGACTGTTTTAAAAAGATGATATTGAATTACATTTGGTTTTTTCCCTATTCATATGTAAAATCCCAATGGTAAGGTGGTTATAGTAGGAAGGACATAGAAAAAAGTCATTATGTCTGTGTATTTTTCTCATTCCTTGAGATACAGCTCTCTTGCAAGATGTGTATCTTCAAAGCATTATTAAAAATAAGTTTTCAGGCTACTAATGATACAGTGGATCTTTTTTTGTGTTGTAAAGTGGCTTTATTATCTCTGTATCTGTGTCCTCTGATTTCCTTTAGTAACTACTTTTCTAAATTCTTTTTCCTAGTAAATAATTAGGCTATTTAAAAAGTTTACTATTTCTGAGTTCTTGAACATTACCAATGAATGTTTTAATATACTGTTCTGTGAATAAATCGCTCCCAACAAAACAATCAAAATTTCCCCTTGCTTTCCAAGACATCTGGTTCCCTACCTGCTGACTTTTGTTGCCATTTGTAGTTACAGTGGTGAGTAAGTGCCTGCTTTAAGGACTGCATGCAAATTTAAATGATCAAGTGCTCTATCTAGTCTGTTATGCTTATTTATGGTGTATCATTTAAAAGTACAGCCATCAGGGGTGTGTTTGAGCACACGGTGTATCTTTTTCTTTTCACTAACCTGTACCATGCCTATGTGTCTGAAAAATAAATTAAAATATTGACACTATAGTTCAGAAGCAGTTATACCTCCTAGGTAGTTGACCCTACATGTGAGACATTCCCTTATTAGTTGCTGATTTTTCTTTATTATCTTAGTTTTGGTTGGCTTGACGTACTAAGTAGTTACTTCTTTCCAGTTATTTCACCCCAGTGAGTGTGATTTCCTCAGGTACAAGTAGAAATGCTGTGAAAACTTCAGTACCTTTTCTTCCTTGCATGAGATATGTGCTTTTAAATCCTAGATGCTTCTTCTGCCTAAAATGTGTAACCGAATTACTGTAACAGAATTAATGTATTTCCTGTATCTGTTAGAAAAAGTTTTTATTTCACTAGGAGAGACAGGTACATTTTCTTTTATGCACAGTAGGAGCTAAAACTTATGAGTAATTGTGGAGTATTCAAAGTGCCTTTTGTTTCATCCTTAACCTCCAGAGACACAAACAGTTATATATTACGTACCTCTACAAAATGTCTACTTGAGTCTAATTCTCCAGATGATAGTCTATTTTTCTCCTTAGTTATGGAAAGGAAAAATTAGGAAGTGTCCTTTATTGAAGGAAAATAACAATGAACTTGAAGCCCATATCAGACACACACTGAGGTGTTTGCTTTGAAGTATTATCAGGTGTAAAAATTTTGCCTATATTTCAAGTTTGAGTGACTTGTCACAACACTTCTGTAAGTATTATGTATAAATGGTTCAGTGTTGACAGACTGAATTCTTCAAATCTTTTCTGGCATTTAAAACCAGATGAATCTGCAGTTACTCTGAAATTCTCACCAGTGACTTGCTCATGTATTTTAAGAGGGAATAATTTATTTGCAGATCTCGCATACCAGAACACCAATCATTTAAGTAAAATTTATCGGTTATAGTGCTGTGGTGTTAAAGTAAGAACTCAAGGATCTGAACACCACCATACTTAGCACAGGCTGTACAAATACACAAAGATGATCTTTGTCTAGTTGCAAGTCTTAAGTCCGGATGTGGATTGTATGCAGCATTACATATAGAATTACATATGTTCAGCTTGGCAGGCTTGTTTGTAACTTGCTTTGATCTCCAGAAGTGCCGACTACTTCTGTTATCACAGCAGAAATGATACATTGCTTTAATGAAAGAAAATGTAGGACCACTGCTTTGGTATTCAGACTTACAGTATTAAATCTGCTGAAGTGTTTTCTCATTCTTGTTCAGTATTCATTAATCCTGAAAGCTTATGCTCCCACCAAATAGCAAATTCACAAAGCATTCAAAGAAATATTAGGCCTAGGCAGAAGTAACAGAAAACATTTTCTCATGTAAAAAATTGATACTGAGCTTCTTTATTCTAAGGCTGTCAGGTTTCCAGCACCATCATTTAATGTATTTAATTGTAGAAGGCTGGAGAAGTGGGCTGAGTTATTAATAAAAAAAAAACATCTGGAGCTGCAGAAGACTTGCAAAAATGTATTAGAGTATGATGAATATAATTGACTTTTACAAAACCAGCAATTTTTTCAGTGAGTTGCTGTTGGTTTCTGTCATTTTGTATGACATTCACAGTGAATACAACTAATTTTTAAGGTTTCTACTAATTGTAATTTTGTACCTCTGTACTTTATTGTCTATTCTATGAAAAATTACCAGCATCACCGTAGGTAAGGTTTGCTCTATAATACTAACTACTGTATGTTGACTTTCTTTTTCCCTTAAAAAGATTCCAGCTTTTGCTTCCTGTCCCTGAATAATGTCACTCTGTGAGAAAATAAAAGGTTTCTGCCTTATCTTTTGTTTGACAGGATTTAGGGGAGTTTATAGCATTACTTCAGTTCCTTGAACAATCCCCACAGGAGCTCAGACACTTACTTCAGAGGCTGTGTGAACGATTCTCACATATAATAGGAGGAAGTAGTGAAGACAAAGATGGAGAGATGAACTTTAGCTTGGGTCTTGGCTCATGTTTCAGCACTACTGAATAAAAAATCTGTTTACTGTGGCATCCAGTTTTCAGTTTGTTTATGGTCCTTAACTTTGTGACATATGTATGATATAGCACTGGAAAAAATAGACCTGCAGAAGTCACCTGGTTGCATGGTTATTGCACCAAGATGAACAGAGGCGTAATGTGCTGCTTAAGAAAGCTTGTTCCTTTGAAAGTGAGGTTAGTTTTTTTTTTCCCTCATTATTTTCCCAGGAAGTTTCTTTTGGCAAAGTGTTCACTGAGAGCTTGCTATTACTCTTATTAAGAACAGCTATCTGTCTGCTGGTGCTGTTAGCTTGCTCTTATGCTGTAATATTGCACAAATTGGAAGTTTGGGGTTTTTCTATCTTATATATTATTTCAAAGAAATGTTGTCCTTATGTTAGCTTTCAGGAGTTTGAGCTACTAATTAAATTCAGCAAATGAGATCTTGTTTCTTCATGCAGATATGAACCTCAAAATAAAATTACAAGACCCAAAAAAAGTGTGTTTCACACCGTTAAAAATAATTAGCAAATATAAATACACAAAACTTTAACAGATGCGCATTATTTTTATCACTGTCTTCATTTATACCTCCTTGTTACTATTTTTTTCTTGAAGAATTATCTTCTTGGTTTTTTTCTTTTAAATTTATCACTCTCCCTTTAGTTCTAGTACTTTCTAGAAAAAGCCTGCTCCTATTGTAATATATTGATTCATAATATATGTTAGTTTCTGTTTTCTTGTTTTCTACCACTATTCTCTGCTGAACATATTCATTTCCCAGCACAACTGTATTCATAAAAAAGCCTTGCTGGTGTAAGTTGTGGTACATGTGAAGTAAACAGAAGCAAAATTTCCTGTCTATCTAAAAACAATAAGTTCTTGGCACTCACATTCCAAAAGTATTTTTGTGGGTGTTGATATAAAATAAAGTGTCAACAGCATAGCAAAATACTGTGCAAACCATTCTGCCATGTTTTCTGTGGATCTTCCTTGCTAAATAGTAATTGGTTTCTCTATACCTCTTGTGGCTGCTTTCAGTTCTGAAATCTGAATGTTTGATGAATGCAATATTTAGGGTCTAGCCAGTAGTTAAGAGCAGCACTGTGTGCTTTGACTCATCACACATTGTAATATATAATGAATCTCTTTACTAAAGCAAGAGTATCCTTAAAAAAATTAATGATTAGT